TGACAAAATTAACTAATTTTGCCACATTATCCTATGTATCATAAATAAATAAATATTCACGTTGTCCCTTTTATCTATCCACTTTCATTTTTGGGATGTCCCAAATTAATCGTAACATTTCCCTCGAAGGAAATAATTGGGTTTCCAACCACACAATTTTATCTTTCTTAAAATTCCTACGAAGTCAAAATGGAAACATCAAAAAGGAACGAAGAGTAAATAAACAATAAAATTAAATGGAAATCAAGAGGAGGATACAGCGCAAGTTGGACACAAGATCTTTTGGCGCAAGAATTCTCCCCGTTGCCTGAAGTGCATGAGTAACATGCTTCTGAATAGAACATAAAGCACAAAATCCAGCTTTACGGCCTACAAAATTAAGGAAACAGCTTTAATGAGATGAGTACTCAATAGTACAGCAATGTAAGGGTGTGCCTATAAATAATTACTCCCTCCGTCCCACTATTTTTGTCTCATACATAATTGGTCATATTTGTGTGGTTCGGATTTATTCTCACATTTTCTTACTTTTAAATTTTTAACATCAATATCAATCACATAATCTTACTTTTCTTAATTTCCGTGACACCCCCTCATGTCCCAAAAATAGTGGGATGGGGGGAGTATAAATCAAAACTCAAATAGGAAACTTGAGGGCAGCGTATACAACTCTAGTGTGTTTTCACTCCAATGCTTCCACTATTAAATACAAGTAATTGAGTACCATACAAATCAAAAGCTACAACAATAACAACCCCAGTAAAATCCCACAAAGTGGGGCCTATCTTGTTAGGTTGGTCGAGTAGTAGGTATAAGCAGCCCTACTTGAAAAGTAGAGAGTCTGTTTCCAAGACTCTCGGCTTAAAACAAAAATGAACGTCGAAACACCGGAAAGGGAAAATGGAATGGAAAAAGAAAATTGCAAAAATCAAAAGCTACTTTACATCTTTTAGAGTACCTCTTCCTTGGCTCGTAGCATGATTAAAGGGGAAATGGCTGAATACAGACATACAGTAAAGTACAAGAAAAGATTTTAAAAGAATGTCAAAATTTAGAATCTAATATTTGGCTGCCTGCTGAATGTTGTACTGTCGTCATAGGACAAGCATCATGTGAAGACACAAAAATGTAAAGAAAAAAAAGCATTAAAATATTTGGTTGCTAAAATATTTGTGTGACTAAAATAAACATTAAAATAAGGTAAACAGCTCAGTACAAGGGAACCAAGACTAAGGTCATGCCGGAACTTTCTCTAGTTTGGTGAGGATCAACCTAGTTGCATGCAGCCTACAGAAAGATCATGCCGTGAACTTCACATTAACTACAATCTTGAGTGTAAGCCAATTTAACAAAGTTGATAGGTTTGCAAAAAGATCAGCTGCCCACAAATTTTTAGGATAAACTTGAAATTTCATCTAGAAGATGTGAATATTTTTTAGGGTGAATCATAAACGTAAGATTGACCAAGTTCATCTACATTGCATCCTATAAAAAAAATATTGAGACCTTTCACGCATTAAACATTCAAGGCACACGAAAGGCAATTTCTACAAGCACCACTGTGTAGTTCCTACTTTCAAATATTGGAAACTGTATGTTAGATTTAATCGTATTGTTTGTTTAATTCCTGGTCATAAGTTATTAGTTTTGATTTAAATTTTAAAAATCAAAGGGACAGGGGTAGTTATTTCTGGAGGTTAAAGGTAGTTATTTCTAGAAGTTGTATAAGTTAGTAATAGATGTGTTGATTAGTACCAAAAGTTGTGTTGGTTGATGTCTATAAATAATCCAGGAACATAGAATTCCTGAATGTAGTTCACAATAAAAAATCAGATCTGGAGTATATAAACAGAGTATTTTATAAACAGATCTGCATTTGTTTTGTTCTTCCAATTATTTTCCTACAATTGGTATCAGAGCGTGTGCGATCAGCGGCAAGAAAAGGGAGATCTGCCTTGACAACAGATCAAAAATCTTCGACAAGATTCTCTTCCTCGCCTAGGACAAGAATAGCAAGTGGCTAGTTTTTCCTTTGGCAGAAGCATTCCAACCAAACACTGCGGGAAAAACGAATCAGCGGGGTTGCTTTCGTTTAGTGGCTTGGAAGACAGAAAAGCAGGGGCTTGTTTTCTGGTTGGTGGTTGATTGCAGGTGGCTTACAACCNGAAGGAATCGAAGTTAAGAATTTTGTGAAAATTGTCAAAGGAATTAAAGTCGTGCAATGGCAGACAACACACAACAGACAGATTGTGACTACAAGGGAAAATAGTTCACTATCTTTTCAGGTTCCAATTCTAACTACTACAAACTACACTATTTGGGCCGTGAAGATCAAAGCAATTTTTAATGTTAATGGGCTTTGGGAGGTGATCGAACCAGGATCAGAAATCGATCCAAAGAAGAACAATATGGCAATAGCATATCTGTTTCAAGCTTTGCCAGAAGAGATCGTACTACAAGTTGCTCAGTTTACGAAAGCAAAAGAAATTTGGGATGCTTTGAAGACTCGCTTCGTTGGTGTTGACAGGGTTAAAGCGGCGCGATTACAGGCACTTGAATCGGATTTTGAGACTCTAAAGATGAAGAACAATGAGTCACTTGATGATTTTGCTGGTAAAATTAGTCAACTTGCAACACAAGCAAACAACCTAGGGTCTACATTTGAAGACAAAAGATTGGTTCGAAAGCTTTTGGGTTCTGTGCCTGAAAAGTTCATACAAATCGTTGCTGCAATTGAACAGTCTGCTGACATTAACACAATGCCGTTTCAAGAAGCTGTGGGAAGATTGAAAGCATTCGAGGAACGCATCAGAAAGCCAACTGAGGAAGGAAGGAGATACACATGGTAAACTATTATTCACTAAAGGTGATGGAAAAGAGAAGGTTCAGGAGTAGAAATGTGAACATTGTGGTTGCTGGAGCTCAAAACGAGAAGACTTTGGACGTGGCCGAGGTAGAGGTCGGGGGTCCGGGAAAGGTCAGGATGGCGGTCGGCTTCAGCGGGATAAGAGTCACATTAAGTGTTTCAAGTGCAATGAGTTAGGACATTTTTTGAACGAATGTCCAAAATGGGATCAAAAGGAAGATATTGCAAATTTGATTGGAGATGATGATGAACCAACATTATTGTGAAGATTGGTGTGAACAAACAACGATTAGGGGGGTGATTGTTAGATTTAATCGTATTGTTTAATTCCTGGTCATAAGTTATTAGTTTAGATTTAAATTTTAAAAATAAAAGGGACAGGGGTAGTTATTTCTGGAGGTTAAAGGTAGTTATTTCTAGAAGTTGTATTTGTTAGTAATAGATGTGTTGATTAGTACCAAAAGTTGTGTGGGTTGATGTCTATAAATAATCCAGGAACATAGAATTCCTGAATGTAGTTCACAATAAAAAATCAGATCTGGAGTATATAAACAGAGTATTTTATAAACAGATCTGCATTTGTTTTGTTCTTCCAATTATTTTCCTACACTGTATGAAGGCAGAAATAGCATGTGAAGATAGACGCAGTATGGTCTAAAAATTAGATCGATAAACATAATTCCTGCTTGTGAAGTTATGAACATTGTTTTAGTTTGGGGAAAATAACAAAAATATGGAAGAGGGAAAGGGACACTCACAAGAACTTTGATGCTTCCCGCTTTCTAAGTACGCAGCCAAAGGCTCGGTGTATGTGAGACATTGTAAGACTGCATTGAGATAACAAGTATTTCCAAGGTTTTGTAAACCAGCACCCTGAAAAATGAAGAAAAAAAATTTACAACTTGTAAATGCACAACTACAAATAACAAATGGATTAACTTGAGTAATACATGTGAAAAGTGGCACTCAGATCCTAAGAGGAAAAAGAACTAGAATGTTTTGGAAATTGATCAATAAAGCATATAAGAGTAACTGAGAATTGCTACCTAGTAATACTTCCAACACATGTGGTTAAGTGGAAATTAATTTTTTTTCAAATATAAAAAAAAATGATCTTTGTTTTCTGATGAGAAGTTAATCTCAAAAGCTGCTCCTGAATACCAATTTGAAAAGGTGACATTTCCAGTGAGTTATAAAAAAATACAAAGTATGACATGTTTCAATCATGCCACTTACAATTCTCATTATTTTTCGGAAAGTGGTGTCGAGGCTAAGCTCCGGATCAAAGTCTCTGCTACTGTTCATCTTCAAATGAGGATTTCCAGGCCCCGGCGTTGCACTATTCACCAAATCCGACTTCGAACTAGGGTTCAGGGTATCCAGGCGAAACCCACCGAGGCCATTACCGAATCCGTTGAATGGTTTCCGGGCCAAATGGAACTCGATTCTTCGGTGAAAGGGCGTCTCGCCGGCGACGAGCGTGTCCAAGCTCCCCTCCATTCGATCAAATGCAGGTTTCCCCCGTCGAATAGTATGAAGACGAAAGATCAGTTCCGATCGGAGATTGAAGAAGCTCAGCCGAGCTCCAGTCGAAGCGGAAAGCCTCAGGCTTTGAGCATATTCCTAGGGTTGAACACGCCGCTCATTTGTGAAATACTCCGTAATTTATACGAAGAAGTATTACACGCGGTTTTAAATTTACTCAATATTTTTCTTGACTAATAATTTTAAGTTTTCGTTCATTTTTATTTTTTGTAGTCAAAATTATTTTGACTTTTAAGAAATTATATTAAATATTGATGCATGCATAATTTTATTAGATTGAGTAAGGAGAAATACTATACGGCAAGACGATATTCTTGAGATGGGTGGACAGGGTAAGACGTCACATGCGCGTCACCTCTTGTTGGGCTTTGGGCAAATAAAAATTACTGAGTATACTTTTTTTACTTTTCTATATTACTACCCCACTCAAAAATGAAATCAGCCCAATCAAAATACCCAATTGCCCAAACCCCTAATCTATAAAAGCGGCCCAAAAGTTAATCCCACTAAAACAAAAGAACTCCCCTTCGGCCCTTCCCCTTCATTCAATCATTCTTATCTCACTACTATGAGGATTTCTATCGATTGAAGACAAGACGGGGGAGTCGGAGTGAGACCATAGCGACGGGGGACAAAGAAGAGGATAGTCCAGGTATTGTAATCTTTTGCCTTTTGAATTGTGATATAAAGAATTGAATAAATAAAAGAAATAGGTTTATGTGTGGATTTTTTTATATGTTTTGATTTTATTTTTTCTATTTTCTAGTAAATGAAATTATTTATTATGTTGATTATTATTATCCCAAAACATAAAAGTTTATTTTAAAATTTCGTGTGGCCAACCTAACACCAAAGAGGAGACGGATCTGAAAAACACACAACAAGCCAAACAACCAAGTGTACCACATAGATGCTATAGCACAAGTTATAGTGATATGAGACTTGCATAGTGTTGTAGCACCTTCTACGATGCTTAAAAGAAAAACCAAAGTAAACAAGCAATAAAACGATACAGCAATATGTTTACGTAGTTTGGAGCAACTCTCCTACATCTGCGGGGCCCACGCTTATGTAACAATTCTTCCACTAAATCATCGTAAAGATTACACCTTCAATCATAAGAGATTCGATTTAAAGTATTGACTTAATCTACTTACGATTAACTATGGCGACAAACTCAATTTGCACTTAACTCCTTGGTTCGTTACACATTCAAATCTTCTTTAAAAGGACGTGTTAGCAGTCCATCACTAGAACATCACAGATCATCTTTTAAACAAGGGTAATTTACCTAAATAGAACTAAAACATAATGACTTTCGCAATATAGGACCATATGTTTTTATTTCCCAATGTAGGACCATTGGTCATTATTCAACTAAATGTCCAACATCACTTGGACATTATTCTTCTCACTAGTCATTATTAAGTTCTATTTAGGGAATAAAAAAGTTTAAGTCCTACATTGGGAAATGACTTATGTTTTAGTCATATTCAGTGCAAATTTCACTTTAAATCATCCAACGAACAAGTGTTCATGCAACAACTAGGTTTGTGGCAAAAACTAAGCTTTTGAGTTCTCACGCAAGATATGATGGTGATGATGACGCGATCTTCAAATAAGCAAACTCTCTCGAGAAGCCTCTAAGATTCTCTCGTGTATAATAAGCTCTATCTCTATTTTTCGCCATCTTGTACGAAGAGAGGCGTATAGAGTATATAGGGTAAAGCAAATCCAATGAGAGTTCTATTAGAAGAAGACATTTTCATGAAATTCTTTGACCCTTTTATAATTCTTGTTCTTCAAGAATATCGAGAAAATTAGTTTGGAAACTTCTCAAACGGCAAACATAAGATAAGGAAGAAGAGATTTTCATGATATCTCTCCAAAATATTTTAGGACTCTTTTTAAAAATGTCGCATGCCAAAACAAAAATCGCCAGTTGGATTTCCAAAGACGCTGTCTCAAATCCTAACGCAAGTAAGACATAGTCACTACTTAAAGCGACATAGCAAGTGACATAAAATAATTTACAGCAGCATGATGTCGGTAGGACGCTGCAGCTCTATTCAAACTCTAAACGACTAGGCACAATAACTTCTAACAACTTTGTGTTTGTAAAAAAATAATACCAACAAGAATTACAACAATTCAACTAAACAAAACACGGGGAGGACAAACATGGAACTAACATGTTGCATTTCAACACCTGATTTTGGATTATCTACACCTTTTGCTAGCTAAAGAAATTGATTTAAGTGATCTTATGTGGTATCCTTCAGAAAGAGAAAGAAAAATTTAGATTATCACTTTGATGGGAAATAAAACGTGGCTCGGCCCACATTTCCCAATTATTTACGAATAGCAATCAAACATGTAACGCCCCAAAACATACCCTAGAATTATTAATAGATAATTATTCAAATTTGTTTTGATTAAAATAAATTGTTGTTGAGCTTTGGGCCAATAAGAAATATGTTTAGATGTCCAATATCACAATATGGATAAATCTCATAAAGATAAATCCAATATGTTAACTATTTGTATGGTCTTGATTGGGAACCTGAGTACACCCAAAATCAAAAAAATGTTACTAAAAGTGGAACAGCTGTCTTTATTTATATAGTTGGATTTAGAATTTCAATTTTTTGTTTTCCATATTCTCTTAAGTTGAATTTTTAGAGGGAGTAGTGTAGTTTGGATTTTGGAGAGAATTTTGGTGATTTTGAATGGTGGAATGACAAAAAATGTAATGTTCGCTATTGTAAACTTATTTTAATCATGAGTTTATAATAATTTGACATTATGTAACTTTTTTGGGACATGTAAATTGCTATATAAGAAACCCAAATTGTATATGTACAGAGTAGGGCGAGCATCCTCAACCAAATCAAGTGGCAGACATGCATGTTGCAATCAAAAGGCAATCATATATACAAACAATGAGCGACTAATGCATAACATGATGAGTCCTAACTTTGATCTTGAAAATAATTAACATAGGAAACATTAATGGAGTAATGATCAAAGCAAACTACATTTCTGGCCCTTCAAATGTAGTAAACATCAACCACAAATGCCAGGTGCCTCATAGTCTTTATCTTCACCACTGATCTTATGTGATATTTCTAAATCTAGCGCTTGCCCTAGTTAATGTGGTGAGCTCTAGCAATCTCCAAACAATCTAAAATGTCTTATCAAATGATATGACCTTGCATCCAAAAAATAACTGATCCAAGGCCTCCACCGCATTGATACACAACTACATTCTCTAGGCATATCAAAGAAAATTTTGTTGCGTAGGTAGCCTAGCACGTAAGGTAAGCCCCATTATAAAGGAGACATTTGGTGGGATGGAGGGCTTCCAAATGAAAGTTATCGAAGATTTGCTTGTGGCCTTGACCCATAGGAGATCATAGACCAAATAAGTCTTCAAACGCCTTCAAAAAAAAGTCTTCAAACAATCATCAACACACATGGATTGGAGTGCGCCACTCACTTCACAAACTCTCCCAATTTTATACACTAGTACATCCCTAAACTCTGCCAGTTTTTTGAAAATGTGCGAGTCAGATTTTTCCAAAGAGCCTCCCGCACCCAGCCCACTCCCTTCGGTAATTTGCTACAGTAATTACTCTAGTCAATCAACGAACGGAGGGGAGGGGGGTGGGGGGCTGAGGGTGCAAGGAGTTAACAAAGTAGGAATCATTAATTTTTTCAAACGAAACACTTCCAATGACATTGGTTATCAATGTCGTGGACTCACGTGTACTGCCTCCTTAAAAAAACCCAAATGAGAGGTTGTGATCCAGCGGCATGACCGTTATTCTTCCAAATGAAAGGTCACAAATTCCAACCATACTGCAGATAATAACTCTTTGTACTTCAGTAGATTAAAGATGAATGAAAATATCCTACACAATAATAGAGTTAGTTGTATTAAATAATCGATAAAATTAGCATTAACTAATAAACAAAAAAATAATTATTTCAGTCCATTTTAAAAAATAATATTCAGATAAAATATAAAAGATTCTTATTTTACATAATAAAGATTAGACGAAGCAAAAAAAATTACAAACTTTAGAGGATCACAACATATAGGGTACAATCTAAGCTTTAAATCTAGAAAGAACTATTTACTTAAAAAGTTACAAACAAATTCTACATGGATAAAAATATGGGGCCGCATCCATTGCTATTGGGCAACGATACTATTGGCCGTGCCTTTTAGGAGCTCATATGATACTCTGTAAATTGATGATTTGTATCGCTTAACCTTCTACCTGAGTCATATCCACACCTCCACAGCGTAGTCTTTTTTGAGACTTACACATGAAATCTTAATTTTTTAAATTGGGTGGCACTGAGTTTTGAACCCGTGACCTCTTAGTCAACGAGGCTCTGATACCATGTCAAGGAACTAACTCAATCAAAAGTTCAAGCTTGTAGTTGTGGCCCAAAAACATTTATTTATATTCTAACACTAAGAGCTTGTTCTTTAGGGTTTAAACTTTTACCTTCCAGTTCCTTCCAGTTTTTTTTCACTTTCTTCTAGTTCATCCTAGTTTTTTTCAGTTCCTTCCAACTATTCTCATTTTCTTCAAACTCTTTCTACTCCCAAACCAATTACTCTAAAAACGATATATTTTTTTAATGCGATTATTATTATTATTATTGTTATTATTATGTTCATAACTATATTTTATAATTTTTTTCATCTCACTATTTTTAAGATTCACTCATTATTTTTCTTCAACCTTTTAATATGAATAAGATAATTTTTTGGTATATTAATCTACATGATAAAACCGGAAAACAATAATATTTTAAGCCACATTAAAAAATTATGGATAAAATAGTTACATAGAATGTTTTATTAATCTTACTTTATATAAGACTCCTCCCTTCACTTTCTCTTTATTACTCAAATTTTTCTCATTTTTCTAATTTTTATAAGTAAATTTGGAAGTCAAAATAGTTTAGAGAAAAAGACTAAAATATGAGTAAAACATAAAAAATGTAAAAAAATTCTATGTCTTTATTCCAAAAATAGAAGTTACAATGAAAATAAAATGTCAATCATGAAAATAAAATAGCTTTGATTACATTATGTGACATGTCTGATATTTTAAAACAAAATCTTGTAATATACTTCCTCCGTCCCGGAAAACATGGGAGTTTTGGTTTTGGAGAGGGATTTAAGGGGAGTGTATTTTGGTATTGAATTTCCAAAAATGTCCTTTGATGTGATGGATTATGGATAAAAGTATGATTTGATGGATAGATTATTAGTATAAAGGTATGATATGATAGGTAAGATATGAAAAAGTAAGGGATAAAAGTGACTTTTTAATAGAAATGAGAAGTGTTTTTGGGATGAATGAAAAAAGAAAGGAGAAAGGTTTTCTGGGACGGAGGGAGTATAAAGTATAATTAAAAATATATTATTTATAATAAATACTACATAAATAAATTGAGATGCAACGTAACCACAATAACTTTTTGAAATTTAATATTTGGATATTTATGCTAACTTTATATTATAATTATTATTTTTTTGCAAAAGTAATTTTTTGTATATGAAAAATAATACTGCCTCTGTCCGGGAATAAACTTCCCACTTTGACTTTTCCTCATTTTTAATGAGTGCTGATTTTAAGAGGGAAATGTCCAAAATACCCTTGTAGCCTCATGACCCCCACTGCCTTAGAACCCCTGGAGGCTGGAGCACCAACCACCGCCCCAGTTCCCACCGCTGCCCACCCACTGCCGCCCCACCCCCAACCGCCGACAGCCCCATCATCACCATCAGTCACACAATCGTCCCCACCCACCACCATCACCATCTCTAGGAGAAAGAGAAAAAAGAAAGGAGAGAAAGATGAGAAGAAGATTAAACATAGATCTAACGTAGATCCACCGCCACCTCAGCTCCCACCACCGATGTTTGGTCCATCATGGCCATCTAGTCCATCCACCGTCACCTCAGCCTCATAGATCTAACAGAGATATAAAAGAAGAAGAAGAGGGGAGGGGGGAGAAAGAAGATGAGGATGAGAAAAAAAAGAAAAAAGAGCGAAGAAGAAGAATCCGAAGAGGAGGAGAAGAAGAAGAGGGGCTTTGGCCGAGAAAAAGGGGAGAGAAAGCAAAAAAAGAAAATGAGATTTAACAAGAGGGGTAGTTTAGGAAGAATTGGGATGAAAAGGTAGAATGGAAAGTGATAATTTTCTTATGGAAAAATATTTTTTGTTATTCTTCCAATGGATACGCAAGGTACAATATATAGTCAAAGTACATACAAGCAAACCTATTTACTCTAAACCTTTAATTTACATAAAATAGGTAGCAAGAAGGAATAAATGGAAACCACAAAACACTCCTTGATTTACGCCATGCATGCGTACGGGTATGCCTCCAAATAAATCTCATGGGTGGCCAATTATAATATCATAAATATCTTTAACACGAAGATTATTTTCGGACGGAAAAAAATGTAGAATGGGAAAATTATTTCTGGACAGAGGGAGTAATACCTTTTTTATTAAAGACATTCATTAAGATAACGTGATGATGATGATCATAATAATAATAATAATAATTTATAAAAACAAGAATTAGAATGAGAATAATATAAAAAATTCACTAAAATAATTTATTTTAAAAGTTTTTTTAAGTTTTTCAATTTTTTGAAGTTTTTCCAGTTTATTCCAGTCCTTTCAGTTTCTTCCCGTTTTTCTCATTTCTTCAAAAACTTCAATTTTCTTCCAGTCTTCCCTGTTTCTTTTAACATCCAGCTCTTTTTTTCCCGTATTAAAGAATGTGTGATAATTAGGTAATTTGAGCGGGACAAAGAGATTAAAACAAAGAAAGGTAGAAACCAATTAATTACTGAATATTTAATCTAATTTTTTTTATGAGCAACGTTTTAGTGACACCGGAGAACGGTGCCACTCCGGTGCCACTGGGTTTTTGGGGCACCTCCGGTGCTCCGTTCGTAAAATTGACGGTTCCTACCCCCACCCCTGCACCCCCGCCCCAACCCCGCCGTAACCCCACCACAAAATGTGTGGCTATTATGCATTGCATAATAGCCACACATTTTGTGGTGGGGTTACGGCGGGGTTGGGGCGGGGTTTAGGGGTGGGGGGTTTAGGGGGTGGGTTAGGGGGGTAGGAACCGTCAATTTTACGAACGGAGCATCGAAAGTGCCCAAAAACCCAGTAGCACCGCTAATGACACCGTTCTCCTGTGTCACTAGAATAGGGTCTTTTTTTTATTTACTTTAGCAAAAGCAACACTGCAACAGTCGGCTTCATTGATCGACGACCACCAACGCCTAATTCCATTCCTGCTATTTCCGGCCGATCAGCACAGGCGAGTATTTCTTCCCCAAATTTTCTTTCTCGGAGAAGGTTGTTTTTCTTTCCATCTTGCTCGGAGAATTGACAGGAGATGGCCTGATTTTCTAGAATTTTTTTAAAGCCTCCTTCATTTTCATCAATTTCTATTTCCGTATTGTTATCATCCGTCAAATGTTCTGTACATGTCAGGGTAGAACTTCACCTTTACCCATCTGTGAATGGAATTTGCTTTTCATTTTCTTTTAAGTTTGGACATCATATGGAGAGAAAATTTCCGCTGTTTGGTAATTTGTGGTTGTGGCGTAAGTCATGACTTCTGATTGTTTCATGGCTCTTTGTAAATACAGATTATATGCCCATTTCATTGTTTTGGAAAGCAAATAGGAAGTTAGATTTCTAAAGATTTTGTTAATCCTCGGTCTTCATTTTACAACTCTGGATTTTTTTTACTAGATTGTTTGTTTGTTCGATGCCATGATTCTATTGTTCCCTTTCAAATTATTGTGTAGAAGTGATGGACTTTAATCCATCGGATTTATGACCTAAGTAATAGGGAATAGATCGTGTAAGAATGCAGAGGGATGATGCAAGATAATGTCCTCTGTATATCAAGAGTGTGATCCCTTTTCTAGAACATGAGAAGATATATCAATAGGGAGTAAGAGGCCACTCAACCGTAGGAGCCTCCTACATCATAAGAAGACATGACATTGTGGCCCATGATCATGGGGGATGTGGGGGAGATGGAGATCACCTTTTGTCTCCTAACGCTAATGCCTACCTCAACCCACCAGTTGACATACTTGAACCTCACTTCCCGGTCAGATGTTTCGTGTGGATTTCATCCCCTTATCAAAAGTGTGGTCTTCAGTGGTTTGGGCCTAAAGACATTATGGAGTGGATTGGATGTATTGGCCTGCTCACTATACATACTTGAGCTGGTCCCAATGTACCCATCAAGGAGTTTTTTTGTTAAATAGTATACACACTATGCCAAAACGCTATAATCTCTCTGATTATGTTGGGTTTGTTGTTGTCGTTATTTTCTAATTTTTTAGTTCATTGGGATAGGAAAAGGATCCCAACTGTAGTTTTTGCAAATGCAAAGGTCTGACGATATGCATCAGGAACTTTTGCTTTGGGCTTGCAATAGTGCATAGGTCACATTAGGCCACAATGTGGCAGCATGTTTGAACATATGTGTGTTGATCAAAAAGTGAAAGGCATTATTGGCAGACCATCCAAATCCAACCTCAAAAAACAAATGTTTTTTAGAATTACTAAACCCACATTTGACAAATCAATTTGCACACTTTTCCAGGTGAGCTTCGCGCACCACCTGAATCACAACTCTACATATCTTCAATTGGCCCTATATTGTTTTCAAAGATGTGTAAGAAACACCTCTCTACGGATTTTATTTCCATGTTTCAGATTGTTTGCTTGCGTTTTAATGATTTATACAGAGTACTCTGTATTGAATATATGTTTTTATTTACTTGAATGTTTTGTAAGTTGTTCACTTGTTCTCCTAGAGCAGTATATTGTTCATTTTTTCCCTTAAAATTGGTTTTGCTTTGTAAATCACACACAATGCTTTCCCTTAGATATAAATTTGTAACATTCCTGCATTTTTTTCTGTAGATTTGCCTGCAGTTAGAATATTGGATAAATGTTCTTTCAAATATTGAAATGGTTTGATCTTTGTATGCTGCATTGCTGATCTGACTGTTGAAGTGTTAGATGCTGAGTCTAAGATTTTCTTGTATTATTTTATTGCAGAGAACCAGTGAGATACAGATTACTCACTGGAGTTAGGGATTAGTATCAATATATTGTTTGAGCAATTGGTTGATGGAGAGACAGCCGTTTATCTCAAGATGGGATAGGCAAAAGCGGCGGCTCCGCCTTGAGAGGCGTGGAGGTCTCTTATCGCAAAGCCGGATCTTTGCTCCTAAACTTAAAGGGTTCAGTTCTAGGAAACAGATCTTCCGCTATCTTCTCATTAGCATCGCTGTCATTGCCATTCTTCCACCTCTCTATTTTCACTTCAAACTCCGCCGCTTCATTCAGGTAAGCTCATGTGCCCTACTATACTACTATGCAAGAGTGTACAGAATAGACTATAGAGTGCTGTTTATCTGAAGACTTTTTCAGTTTTGGATTGAGTGTTCAGTGATTTATTAAAAAACAGTTGATTTTTAAGGTTTTCCAGCGAAAGAAAACAGAAACAATTTGTGGGATGCAGTAATCAACAGATATTGGTTAATTTAATCATACTCCGTAGATCCTCAATTAATAAATAATAGAGTAATGAAAACCATACTCTGTGTATGTGTATATTAAACATGAGGTATTGTGATTGAGCTAGCAATGCACTCTATGATTTCAATCTAGCCGACAAGATATGTGAAGGTATATCAAGTGCCCGATTTAATATCACCATTCATTTACCGGCTCTGGTCTGAACTTTATTATGCATTTTTTAATAGAGTACGAACATCTTAGAAACAACAAACCTCGTAAAAGACTTTACCCCGAATTAGAAGTAGAGTACAAAAATCATAGAAAATTCTAAAAAAAGTATAAAAAACAATTGCACTTGTGGTAATAATTGAAGTACAGTGCACTAATCTGTGGGCGTAGCAGAGAGTTTGTGATCATATATTTCAGCAGCAATTAGATATTTGTCTTTTGCTGACTCTTAGATTTCATTTGGTTAATGTGCAGGTTCAAGAACAAAAATGCAGTTGGTTGAGAAATCCTCCTCTGATCTGCGCTCATGGAGGTGATTCGTCAAAGGCCTTTCCTAACACTGTAAGTGTTTTGAAGTCATTGGTCAACTCATTCTCCAGAGCCCCAAAAGCTGTATCATGATATCCTAAGAGCAACTATCCCTTGTTGAGTTGTTGATTTTTTCAGGATTAATTACATGAATGAATGTACTCTGTATTATTTATGGTTTGGCATATTCACCAAGACTGAAATTACTAAAATGATCTCACTGAAAAACTGAAAATGGTCATATAATGCAAAAATCAAAATTTCAAACTACACAGTAAGGAAAAAGGAAAATCAGCAGCCAATGCAATAGAACTCTCAACAAAGAAGTAATTTGAGATTTCTTTCTTATCATTATTGACTAAACACCTCTAAAGCATTTGTTATTGTGTTGCATAAAAATTCATAAAAAATTAGGTCAACTGGCACCAACAAAGTTTTATGCACATAAGTACCTAACTTAACTTTGTCATGCTGAATGAGCATTGCTCTATTGTTATTAATAATATTAGTATTACTACTATTATTATTACTATTATTATTACAGAGTATATGCTATGCAGAACTACTATGATTTTTTCCCCTCCAGAATAATGAATTGGGAATTCTTACCAACTTCTTTTGACAGAAAACAGCATACCAGATTGCTTTGAGTTCTCAGGTAGACTGTATCGAAGTTGATGTTTCTCGTTCTTCTGATGGATTTTTGTTTGCCTTGCATGACAGGTATATGTGGATTCGTCTCCCTATAGATGTATAATATTTTAATCTATCATGCTTGCAAATAATGAATTGTTGTTAAAGTTTGTTACTTAAATTTTCTGGAACATTGATTCTAACATTTTGCAGGCAGGGATTTGCAACGAATATCTGGGAACAACACATCCAAGGTTGGGTACTTGAGCTCAAGAGAGGTGGGAACTGGGAATTATTACTTTTGTTTTTCAAATTGCTGACATAGTGACTTAGCTTTCTTGTTGTTTGAATTTAAAATAGATTTTCTTTATATTTCTTGGCTTCTTCCCACAAGGGTGTAATTGTTCCATGCGTGAACGACAAAGTCTGAGGCTTACTATTTGCCATATTGGAACATACATGTTTTGCTATGACTAAATTGTTCAAAATTATGAAAGTGATGTTGAATGAGATCATATTTAGTTTGTGGTTGTAGATTAAAGAGCTTGTCCCAAGTTCTGAGCTTCAACAGAAATATCATGATCTAACGGTGCCTACACTTGAAGATGCACTAAAGGTATCTCTCCTACTTTTTCTAGTATATTATGATGTGGGCCCTATGTTCCACTTTTTCTTTCATCTGTTAGTGCGTGCTTCAAAGCGGAAAGGGAAGTCTCCCACAACTTACAACAACAGGCACAATAAAATCTCACAAAAAATAGAGAGAGATTGTTTCCAAGAGATTCCCGGCTCAAATAAAGTATAGACAAAGAAACCATAATAGCACTAACGAAGAACGAGCATATATAAAAGAAGCACACAAATTGATACTAGCAGCTAGACACAAAGCACAAAGTCCTTGGCAACTTGTTACATTGATATCTTTGCCATAGCAAGATATTAGAAAATGAAAATTTGCAATTGGTTTTGGATACCCTTCCGCAATTTAATTTTTTCTGTTTTTGTGGTTTTGAATGTCTTTTCAGCTCATTTCAGGCTCAGTGCGACAAGTAGTTTTAGATGTAAAAGTGGGTCCTCCTTTATTTGAAAAAGGACTTGCTGGTGATGTTGTTTCTTCTGTAAGTTTGCCACACTTCTTCGTAAGCTAAGCCAACTCTGAATGACTTGTGTGCTTTACTTGGACTCTTTGACCCCTTTTGCAGTACAAAAAATTTGGGTTCCAGAATTGCACTGTATGGGCCAAAAGTGACAACATTCCAAGAGATGTGCTGAACCTTGCACCAGATGCCACGGTACACTAGACTGTTCTCTTTTTCTCTGTGTGTTTAATCTTATATATATGATTGATTGGTGGAGAAGCCAATGAAGCATGTCTACAATAACAGACCTAGTAAAATCCCACAAAAAGTAGGTCTGGTCAGGGGGGTTGTGTACGCAAACCTTACCCTTACTAGGTACAAAGAGGCCGTTTCCAAGAGACGCTCAGATACAGAAGAATAGACAAAGAAACCACATCTAATTGTGCATTTTCACCAAATTTCTAATTCCAACCGCTACACCCAAATTTTAACAAAACCCACCAAAAAGACCTTTAGGGCCAACCAAACGCACAAAAGGTAGTGTGCTCTAGTGGTGGGAGAACCAAGTGTTCGATGCTCCTAGAGCAATTAAAGTTTTGTATCATCTCCTATGGCTAATCTACCTATGTACTTCTTTGTTTTGTTCTGTGTGGCACTATAGGTGGGTTACATTGTCATGATGGACCCTTCAACTGGAACTAGAACGCCATTGCTGAGGATGAGAGGTGCGGGGGTGGTTGGCGTCTACCATCATTTAATTGATGAGAAGCTTGTGAAACTTTTGCATGGGTATGCACTCTAAATATCTTCATGCTGCATAATTCTGCATATCACAAAGGAAAATGCTATAGAGATTCCAATAATTCATTGTATACTACCTATACTCCATTTAGTGGCATAACTTAATTGGGGCTGTAAAGGAGCTAAAAAGAATCTGGCCCATCTTGTTAGTCAGTTTAGTCGTTGTGCCCACGCCTTAGAGGAGGGGTGAATAAGGTGTTTAAAATCTTTTCCGAGTTTGATAAAAACGGTGTTGGCAAATGCGGAAACAATATATAAAACGCAGAGATAAAAACCTAAATAAAATGCACACCGATTTTATACTGGTTCGGGAAACCCCTACTCCAGTACCTCGAGGCTCCTCCTTAAGGATTTACGAATCCACTAAGTCCCGGTCTCTTGAACTCCGTCAAAGCACCACACTAGTTTTGGCAAACAACTCTTGCCAATAGGATTCACTCTGAGATTTCACAACGGCTATCTCGAACCGTTTACAACGAAGATTTAACGGCGATCTTCTACCGTTCCCCCAAGGATTTCAAAGGCTATCCTTGAACCTTTACCCAAGGATTTATACGGCTATCCTTAACCATTACAACGTGAGAATTTAACGGCTATTCTCGACTGTAAGAAGGTGTGTTTGAAGAACACAAAAGAGGATTCTACACAACGGTTAGAATATAAAAATGAAGAACAAAACTTAGCCGGTGTAGAAGGAAATTATACTCTCAAAAATACAAAATAAACTTATGAATATAAGAGTATATAACTAGAAACACAAGCTCAAAGTGTGTGTATAAAATTCGGGAATTTAAAGCTATTGAAATAGCTAAAATATTGAAAATAATGAATAAAAGAATGAACACACTTAAAATATAAAGGGATGATGTTTGGAGCTTTGTTTCTTGTTGAAATATGAAGTATTAGGCCTATATTTATAGTGGAAGATGTTAATTAGCCGTTAGGAAGTGATTAGAGTTGAATTAATTCAAAACTCAGCAATCAAGAATAGTGTTCCAACGGTAACGGTACACTGTCACGGTAGCTAGGTCCTGTACGGTAGCTAGGTATCTTCTCAGGCCAAAACTCTCTGGCGTTACCTATCCTCTTATGGTACCCCTTACGGTAGGGGGGTCCCGTCCAGACGGTAGGGGGTCCCGTGCGGACGGTAGGGGGTACCTTCTCAAATTGACTCACGGTACCCCTCACGGTACCTAGGTACCTTATCACCATTTTGACAATTTTTTTCATTTTTGTCCAAATCATTTCCAATTTTGTTTAAAACCTTTTGGATGTTTGAAAATGATTATAAAAGGGTTTTAAACATATTTTGTGAGTGTTTTTGAGCTTACATCGGTTATAAAATCATATCCTTACATCGGTTTCTACCTAAATTCTACGCTAGTTTAGTGTTTCGACTTCATTCTTGAGAACCAAATCTTAATGGATTCTTGTTGTATCTGAAACACTTAAACAAACGTTAAACTCTTGTATTGTTTGTTAACATCAAAACACGAGACTTAGTAAACCAAGACTAACACATCTAACCTATTAGGGAGGGAACGGGTTCGAGCAACCGCCCACCTAACAAAACCCAAACCCCATTTCTTACAATACTTCCCAAATTTTGACTCATATTGTACCCGATTAACCCGAATAAGCCCCAACTTCATTTAGCATTGTCCAAGAGTTCACAAACCCAACTCAAACCCTCCACATACCGGAATCCATCCGATTAGGGTTCGGATGGGTTGGGTACTCACAATAACCCATCCACTATGTTTGGTTGGAGGTATTGCGAAGGAAAAAGAAAATGCAAGCCAAAGAAACCAAAAGGCATAATTTTGTTTGGTTAGTAGGGATATTGGTATAGAATTACTCTTCAATACCTTCTTTCGGGGTAGCGGGGGATGAGGGAGGAGTTTGACGTTTTCTTTCTTTTTCTTTACAAAAATGAAATGAAAATCACTTTACATTTACCTCATCCTTTCTTTTCCCCCACTTTTCTTTTCCTTTCTAACCCAACACTATAGTTGATTTTCCTTTCCATCTTCCATTCATTTTCGTTTCCCTTCTGAATTCCTTGAACCAAACAGAGTGGTCTTGTTGCCATTCCTAAAACTTTTGCTTATTATGTGCTCCAATACATTGTTCTACTTAACAGGAGAAACAAAAAGGTGTACTCGTGGACGGTTGATGATGAAGTATCCATGAAGGAAATGTTAATCAAACGCGTAGATGCTATCGTTACTAGCAACCCCTCTATGCTAAAGCGTGTCATGCAAGACGCACGGATGCAATGCCTTGAGAACGGTTTTTCTTTGTCTGCATGAAGGACAGATAGACACAAAGAGCAGATTACAAATTTTGCTGTTCCATTATTTGCTCCCTTATTCAGTTTTGGGATGCTAAACTCTTTTGTGTGTGCTGTCTACCGATTGGCGACTGATTGCCACAATGTCTATATTCATTCAACTTTTGATGTTTAACAAAAATTATAATGGTCAGTTAAATTTGACTAAATATCCCGTCCCTTGGAAAAGTCCTAACTAATCGAGGTACAATTTGAAAGTTTTTAGTAAGATACAACTTGTAGAAATAATCATATATACTTGTATTATTAAATTTATTTGTTGGTAAAGCCAAGTACGGAGTATGATTTACTCAATTTGTTTGTGTTCTTTTCTTTTCAATCTGAAAGCATTGAATATGATGAAAATTCACTTTTGTGCAAATTGGATTATTTATTCGTGACAAAAATTAGTTTATAAGTTGCATTATTTTTATGGAGATTAGATGATCTTTTGAGTTAATTCAAATTTTTTCCAATTCGAGCAATCTACACTAGGGGTGGGTACATATCGGGACGATCTGTGTTTTAGGTTGTCCCATATTTTGTCCCATTATATACAAACGGTCCGGAACGGTTCGGATTACAACCTTATTCCGGTTTGTCCCATAAAATTTGGGATCGGAATAAACCGAGACGGATTCGGGTCGTCCTATTTTGTCCTAAATCACAAATATAAGAAGGGGAGAGGGTGAAATTTCATTCAAAAAAAAGAAACATGTAGCCATTCAACAAAAAAGAATGAGTGAAATGAGTCCAAATAAATTTCAAGCCTATAAATTTAACTTAATTAAGTAAAGAATGAGTGTATTTGGATTTTGAACTAGAATTAGTATTATATATTAGTAGAGTAGATGAAACGTGACAAATGTGACGGATCGGTATAAATTTTAGTTGTCCCGCTCATGTCCCATTTGATATTGGGACGGAATGAGTTCGGGATAAAAAAAATGTGTCCCAATATATTGGTACAATTACAAAACGGATCCGGGATTTTTCGGAACGATCCAACGGGAACGGATTTCATGTCCACCCCTAATCTACACAATGAAACTTAAAACCATTTGGAAAGCTATTTTTTTCTTCTGAAAAGGGTATTATGGTTGAATTAAGGGTATGTTTGGTACACAGAATTGATAAAATTAGAATTGAACTAAAAATTAGAATTCTATGGAATTGATTTAGATGAAATTGAATTCTCTAATCCTATATCTTTTATCCTTTATTATAATAAAGGAGACTCAATGCACCAAAGCTTGACATTTGGCATGTACGTGTGGATCATTTTTACACAGTTAGCTTACACGTAATCTAAGTGAGAAAACTAAAGGTATTGAAATAGTTTATCCGGTGCTTTTGGACTTCCAAAGTAAATGCTTTCCTCTCTAATTCGGTGCTTTTGGTTTACACGATCTATGAAATATTTTATTCAGAGTTAATATCAATGTCAACCATTCTTATCTCCAATTCATAGATCGAAGATCTAAATTCTAAACAGATGTGATGTCGATGACGATGGCCTTCATCACCCGTCTCCTTCAGGTTAGCTTCCATCGCCATTTGTAGTTAGGTTTCAATAAACTAAATCTGCATGATATCTTCCATCAAAAGGTGTCATGGCTATGGTGTTCAATCATTCCACCTATTTTTTTTTATTCAATTTCTAGAATCAAAAACTTATCCAAATTAGATTCGATTTTTAATTGGACATCCTTGAATTTTTTTAAAAAATTACTTTCTATTTTTCTTCAAAATCGTTTTAAGGGGATAAAAATATTGGGGTTTTAAATTTAATTTCAAAAATAAAAAACTTGACCGGATTTTTTTCTCAGTATTTTACCTATTTTTTAAATTTAATTTCTATAAATATAAGCTTACCAATATTAAAGATGATTTTTTTATGGTGCTTTCCTTATGAACAATTCCCTTTTTTCCTCAAAATTGCTTTAATTAACAAACAATATTGTCTGGATCTTTTTTTTCTCAATATTTTACCCATTTTTTAAATTTATTTCTATAAATATAAGCTTACCAATATTAAAGACGTTTTTTTGTGCTTTCATTATGAACGAAAATTCTCAACAAATTCAATTTCTTTTTTTCCTCAAAATTGCTTTAGTTAACAAACAATATTGACTTTTTAAATTGCAACATTAATGACTCTTTAATTGGTCATCCCAATTTGAGAGTTAAACTCTTAGAATTGTGACAGGTGGCGAGTCTGTATGACAACATTTTAACAAATCACTCGCCACCTATTAACTACTTGAATGACGTGGTAATTTTAATCAAAATATGGGTAGATTCAATTTAAGTTGTATATGGAGTATATGCCTTATGTACAAAGTGCCGCTATGATTTTTTAGAAAAAAATACTCCATACCATAGAAAGAATAAAACATGGAGAAAGTATCAAAATAGAAATGCATATGTTTTATCTCTAAAATAGGAGCTGCCAAACATGAAGAGATTCATTAGTTTCAAAAAGAAGTTATTGGTAATACATTTTTATCGAAAGACAATGTTCTATATATCGAGGTTAAAGTATACAAAATTGACCAAGAGAAGTTAAATGAGAAGATTAAATTCAAACACAGAGGGTGTATTATGGAAGAAATTAGAACCTTCATGAAATTTTATGCAATTGAGTGAAAACTAAAATTCATATTTTTGATTAAAAATTTTATAAATTCAACTTTTGAAATAACTTAAAATAATAGTATAAAATTTAAAATCAACTTCTAAAATAATTAGTGAAATTTAAAATTTATTTTCTAACTTATTTATAATCAAATAATACTCTTTTTCTTAAACTTTCCAATTCATATTTGTGACTAAAAAAATATTTTTCGCGTCTAACAAAATAGTTCAAGATGAAGAAAGAAGTCATAGTGACAAAATTAATATGGGGTATATTTTTTCGTGGGTTTCATAGGGTTTATCTTAAGAATCAGTAACTCCATTTGTTAACCATCGAGTTCATTTTTTGAGTAAAACATTTAACCCATGGGATTTCTTAAAATATATTAGTAAAAACTATTAAAAATCTTTATATTTCAATTCATAGAATATCAAATAATTTCATAAAAAATTCATGGATAAAAAATCAATTCCTAAAAATCAAATAAATTTATGTTCCAAAATAAAAACAATTATAGTCACATTTGATATATTTCACAAACACTTATTTTTGTAAAAATTAAAAACAATCACATTTATTCTACAGTTATGTTTTACTTGAATTGTCAAGTGAATCTATTTTCAAAAAAATTAGAAAAGAAATATAGTATTTTTTCACATAAAATCTTAAAAATTACTCAGGCGGCGATAAGGGTTGCAGCATTTCAGACTCCGGCACTGCCAAACACGGCCTAACAGCAGATCTCAGAACAATATAATGGTAAAACCACTATATGCAGTTTGTTTTGTTATTGAATCATAAGTTTGAGTTTTTGGTTGAATCGGTTCCTTGGAATTTATAATTATGTCTGCTGATGAACTCTCATAATTTGTTCCTCTCAAGGGGAACTATAGGTTTCCCATGGAAGAATCACCATCCCTTTCTTTGTAGAGGCATTATCTGCTTACACTTAAATGAGTAGGTTTCCACTTATTTGATTGAAATGGGTGTTGTCAAATGCATGCACAACAAACCCTGCAAAATAATAGTGTTCTCACTGACCCTTAACAAAGCCATAACTTGGTTCCAAATGGTATTCTGAAAAGTTCTGGGCTAAAATGGTGATCAGGAGTAATATAATATAATATTAATAACACAAAGGCAAGTTCAAGATATGAGCTTGAATTGGTTTCTTGAGGAGTAAAAACTTGAGCTTTATACAGACCCTTTTGGTTCATTGCCACTCCTAAGCGCAGATTAGAGACCTGATGATGCAAGTAAGTACCCAACTTTCCAATTGGTTTTCCCCAATGTGCCCTTCCTCATGTTTGATATGAATCACGACAAACATTCTTCTTTTCATTTCTTTCCTTACAGAAATATAGACTCCATGTAATAATAATAATAATAATAATAATAATAATAATAATAATAATAATAATAATAATAATAATAGTAATAGTAATAGTAATAGTAATAGTAATAGTAATATGTGCATGGCCATTGACCAGAAGTGTGAATCTTCAAAGGAGAGCAGTTCATTGACGGGGAGGATTGCTCACAATATATGCATATGAATTACTCCTAAAAATGTTATATTAATTATACATATTAATGAGGATGATGAGAGGGTGCTAAGAAATATTGGAAGCTTAGATTTGGGTGTGAGTGTGTGTTTTGTTGTTTTTGATTGATTTAAGGTGTACTTGAAAGTTGTAATATATACGGAGTATGAGTTAGTACATACTCCCTCCGTCCTGAAAACCTTTCTCCTTTCTTTTTTCATCCGTCCCAAAAACACTTCTCATTTCTATTAAAAAGTCACTTTTACCCCTTACTTTTTCATACCCTACCTATCACATCATACCTTTTTACTAATAATCTATCCATCAAATCATACTTTTACCCATCACATCAAAGGACATTTTTGAAAATTCAATACCAAAATACACTCCCCTTAAATCCCTCTCCTAAACCAAAACTTCCATGTTTTTTGGGACGGAGAGAGTACAAAACATATGATAGGGACATGCCTTTCCTTTGAGTGTTAAAAAAAATCATTTCCTCAACATATTGTGCTGATATGATGCTATTGAGATTGGGCTGCTGAGTTGGTGATCAAACCAATTCGAATGATTTACCTTGTGCCCCATTTGTTACACGAAATTTAAACTATGAAATTAGAATTGGGGATAATGATTTCAATTCTGTTCTTTGATATCACAAAAATATGTACTAGATTGAAAACATTTTTAAATATAATAACAATCAGATCAAATCAGAACTAAATGCACATATCGCTTTTTCAGAACACTGGATATAATTAACCTTATACAATGATATGAAAAAAAAATTACAATAAAAATATGCTAGTAATACTTTTACCATTTGCAATCAAAACTTGATTTGAACCTCTAACCACTCAAAATGATATTACTACAACGTTATTCTACAATGGGATAATCCAATTCCCAAGTGAGATTATTATCAACCAAACAGATGCTTTTTGTAAAAGTCAGGAAGAAGCGATAATCCAATTAACGGTTATTAATTAAAAGTATGAGGAGAAAAAGACATCGGCCTATTAGCTCAGTTGGTTAGAGCGTCGTGCTAATAACGCGAAGGTCGCAGGTTCGAAACCTGCATGGGCCAGTATTTTTTGACTATCTATTTCACTATTATCTATAGTGATTTGTGTTTATTTCTCATTGTTCTTTGGTTCCTAAAACAGCATATAGATTGGTTCACATTTTTTAAATTCTAATATTTTCCAACATTTGGCAAATAATATTTTATTACCAACATTTGTTGTGTTATTTGTCATTGGCTCAAGTGAGTCAATATCATACAACCAAAATGATTTCTATTTGGAAGATGGAGATGGTCCTTATTTGTTTATTTGGAGAAACATTTACTACCTTCAAAATTAAAGTTTGAAATGAATAAAAAAAATCTTTATGCTCAACAAAAATTTGTAGTCCATATTATTTCTAACACGATTCTTTTTATAAATGTAGAGTGAATAAAAATAAACAGAGATGGTCTTAAGAAAGGAAAATTAAATTGGAACATGGAGTATTGTCACGTAAATTGGTAGATAAAAAATCTATCTAAATAAAATTTAAACATGACAGTTTTAGTAAAATACTCCATCCGTCCAATAATAATGTTCACATATACTCTCACATGGTCAAATTTTAATTATTTTGTTGACGTATTTTCGTTGCTCATTTGATAAAATAATAGAGTAATGTCATCCCTAATTTTGTATAGTAGATCTTTTCATGTAGTTTTGAAATATGTAATTTTTATTTTTTAATTTCATACGATTTTTCATATTAAATGATTTTAAAATAGTTTCAATCAAACATCGTAATACGCAACGAGAACGTTATTGTTCGACGGAGGGAATAAGATTTTATATTGCTAATATCTTAAATTGATATTAACATTGTGAAATATCACAGAATGACATTGAGTGTATACATTTTAATGTGTTGATTATCATATGTCCATTCAGTATCCTAATGTCTAAAGTAATCTTATGTGTGGGGTTGAATAAGAAGAGGATTCAACGTACAAGTCAGATCATAGCCTATGCATATACCCCCTCACTCGAGTGACTCGACCACTGAAGAAAGGGATCTGATTTTTGGGATAAAAGAAAGAAAAGTTACACCATCATAGTTGCAGGCTAATTTTTTTTTGAAAGGCAGTTGTAAGTTAGATTAATCCTTAAACGCTTTGCCTTTCTTTGTATTGTCTCTGGGCTACGATTGCCTTACTTTTCTCACTTGTACTCTGAAGACTCATCAATAATTTATGGTACTTTCCATCAACTTGATCTTGTCTTTCATCTTATTTATCATATAACCTAACTTTGACTAAAGGGGCAGTATAATACATTTGCTTTGGATTGTTACTGGAACATACTCCCTCTATCCCAAACAGTCCGACACGTTTCGAAAAAACTGCGTCACATAAAATCTGTTACCTTTCAATTAAAAAACCACTTTTACCCCTTACTTTTTCATATCCTATCTATCACATCATACCTTTTTCCTAATAATCTACCCATCACATCCTACTTTTACACATCACATCAAGGATATTTTTGGAAAGTCAACACCAAAATATCCCTCCATTAATTTCCCAAAAAGTCAATATGTACCAATCTTTTTGGGACAGAGGGAGTATATAAATTCCAACTTCAGTATAACTTTAAAGCATGTTGTTTAAAATTGCATTTTTTTTCGGAAAGGGTTGGAGAATTATTCAGGAATTGTGCTAATTAATACGGAGTAACATGCATATGCTGCCTAAATTAATCTACTCCGTATAGTAGTTAGTTGTAGGCTGAAGATAGATATAAGGTTTGTTTGGGAATAGCGTTAGTGATTAGCGTTAGCATTTTGAAAAAGCTATTTACGGGCAGCGTTTAGCGTTAGCGTTTTTAAAGTAATCTACACCGTTAAAAATTTATCTAAAACGCTAACGCTAATCTTTAACGCTATTCCCAAACAGGCCCATAGTGTTCCCAGATGAATTGTTTGGCGCGTTTTTTGGACAAGGCGTTACCGCGCCCGTGAGAAACAAAAAGGCCCATTAGCTCAGTTGGTTAGAGCGTTTTGCTTTAAATGAGGATGAAGATGAAGAAGAAGGAACGGGGAGGTTACTTGGAACGATCTTCCCCCTCAATGGACACATGATCATCATCTGCAAAATTCACGCTGGCGGACGTATCTCTATACATATATTCATTTACATGCCTTAATTAGTTCAAAGATGAAAATATAAAGCTATAGGATTCATACACAAGCCCTCCGAATGAAACTCGTTAGACCCCGAAGGCTCCTGGACGGGCCCACTGAAGAGGCGCACGAGGCTTGACCCCTTCATCGGTATGACATGATGCAAATGAATCCTATAACATGTGTCTAGAATGAACATGTTGATATGAATGATATATAACTTTTGGATTTAACCAAAAACATATTCAAATCTTCCAACATAGCAAAACTGTAACGCCCTGTAACCCGGTCTAATAGAATTGATTAATTTAATTAGTTAATTACTGTTTCGGACCGGAGTTGTGGGAAATTAAAAGTTCTTAGGAAAAATTATTTGATCACATCATTAAATTCGTTTTGACTGTCTGATTCCAGAAACGTTGACGGATTTCAATTCAGACCCGTTCGAAGAAGAAAGCGCGTACCGTTCAGGTCAAATTTTTTACATAACGGAGTAAATGAATAATTGTAACCCCCCTTATCATTCACACGGCCAGCCTATCCCCTTTCATTTCACAAATTCAATTCTCTCATTATTTTTCTTTAACCCACCATAATGATCATCATTATAAGTTACACTCCCCTTCCCATTCATTTTCCCCTTTAACATTTTGTGTAACCCCCATAGTCATCACCACCATCCACCTTCCTCTCCCCTTTGTTCGGCCAGTCCAGCAGCCAAGGAAGACCTCCGGCGAAGCTCCGGTGGGTGCAAGGTTGAAGGAGAAGAAGAGCTAGGCCGCTCGTGCGAAGCGTAGTCGTCGTTCACCGTTCGTTGGCGCTATTCGTTCATCTCATTCCATCAGTCCCTTCGTTTAGAGGTGAGTAGTCGTCCCTCTAATGCTAGAACATTTAGTTATAATCTATGTCGTTATATTCGTAGGAATATCGTACGCAACCTACGTAGAATATATGCATGTTCGTAGGTTAACCATCCAACATACGTGTGTCCATGTTATTAAGTTAAGTGCTCGTTAATATAAATGTTTTGAAACCTTGTAAGTCTATCGATTATCTAGAATGGAAATATAAACATTCGTAAAACTTCCAACGTTTTGATAACAAAAAAATAGATATAATGGAAGTCAGTGTGTCTTGATAATCGAGCTACAGAATAGTACAATCGACTGTCAAGCCACGCTGGACTCCTTAGTTGAATCAGCACAGCGTGATAATCGATTATCACATATGCGATAATCGACTATCAGGCCCTGCGGATTCCTGGGTCTGAGTTGCTTCACTGATAATCGATTATCACACAGGCAATAATCGATTATCAGGTCTCTCTGAACTTAGGACTTTCCAGATAAACCAACTTGACAATCGATTGTCATAGGGGGACAATCGATTATCACAGTCTGCAGGACTTTGGGGACAGAAGCTGCACAGCATGATAATCGATTATCAACAACAGACAATCGATTATCAGCCAGTTCTGAACCCAGGGCCATCATGTTGAACAAATCGTAATCAAACACATATGTATGAATTGAATTTAACTCTCTTCTTTAATCAATGCATTAATTCCATCATGTTCGTTCTAGACGAATGTTCTAGGTTTTCATCAGGTGCATACCGCTGTAGGGAGGACTTCGTGCGCCTACTACAGTGGGCCCGTCCAGGAACCTTTGGGGACCAACGGGTTTTCATCATGTTGGGCTTGTGTACGTACATAGTAGTCAGGTTACGGCTACTACCCGGTTTTGCTAGTCCACTCGCGATATTTTCGTCGTGCCCGGCTCGTTACCGTTCGGGGACGATGACCGGAGTGCAGGGGTGATCCTGTCGAGTGAGACTAAGCCAGGGGTGTCCCTGATAGTTTAAGTCATGCATCAAGTCATATCATCATCACTATGTTCGTTGTTATTTGAAATAGCTTTAACAGGTGAAAACTAAACAGTTAGTAACATGTGGTTTCCTGTACGTTAAGTACAGGTATTGATATGGGTATAGCCATATGGGTTGTCACTTCATGATCTTTTTTTAAATTCACTCCTCAGCTTTTGTTGAGCGTGTAGTTGTTTTGCTACACGCAGGTAGACATGATGGAGCAAGTGCCAACCCTGGAGAGCGGTGACGATGGGGAGATGGGCGGCGCACAGACGAACTCTTAATCACTTTCAATAACTTCATTAATCAATTGGGCATGAGCCCACCCTTGTCATTATTTGATTTGGAGTGGACTTATTTATTTACTTCCGCATTTACTCTGCACATTTACTACACATGCTTTGGGAGTAACTCCTTGGCATTTATTCCCTAATTAAAACACGACCGTTTTCTTATTAGATAATCATTAATGTTTTTGTAACGGGCGGTTCTCGGACGGTCCTTGTAACCCTGCCGGTCTGTCGGGTCGCGGGTGAACCGAGTCCACGGAAGGCGGGTGTTACAAAAACATTCAGCAGACAATTCAAATCCATGAATCTAGAATTGAAAAGGGGAATTGGAAACGCTTCTGTCGGTACTTGGAGGTTAACGGTGCCATGGTACCATCTCCACCATACCGCCTACCGTGTGGTCGGTAGGGCATACCGCCTAGGTACCATTCCTCTCCAGGATGACAACTGACTCTGGCGGTACCTATGGGTGTTCGGTACTCCGGTACCGGAAACTCGGTAGGGCATACCATGTGTGACGGTACGAAGAACCGTCAAGGGGTACCGTGCCCCCTTCGGTGCTGGTCTGCTCTGGCAGTACCTGGTGTCTACCGGTACCTGGCTACCGGAGGCACGGTAGCGCCTACTGTGTCCACGGTATGCCCTTCCGTGAGGGGGTACCGTGACACGAACCAGACAGTCCCGAGGTCGGTCTCGTTCATATAAGTGTGTTTAATCCATTTTATGGCTGTCACCAAGTTAAAGTTACTAGCAAGCCTATATATATAACATGTATCCCTTTCAACGATTGCCTAAATGATTACTAACAAGTTCCCTTGCCAATTAACGTTATATTGAACAATTCATGAAGATATGGATTCACATAGGTTTAGCCAGGTAATCATATGAATATAACGATATGAAATATACTACAGATTCTAAAGCTAGAGGGCAACGTACTCACCTCTAGAACGAAGGGGTTGATGGGCGAGAAAATGGAACGAACAAACGAACGACTTTACATGTGAACCTTCTCCTCTTCTTCCTTCTCCTTCTCCACCTCGCCGGAGCTTCTCTCTTGTCCTGCTACTTGGCCAAATCCACAAAGGGAGAGGGAGAGATGTGTGTGTTAAGGGTGTTAGGGGGTTACAAAATGATGAAAGGATGAAGGGAGAGATGGGTGTATATAATAACGGGGAATAAAGGTGATGAGGTGGAGAATTAAAGAGGGGATAAAGAATGTGGAGAGGGAAGGAGTGTGTGTGGCGTGTGGGAGGGTTAAATTGGGAGTTACTTTTTGTGTTACTCCGTAAATAAAAATTGACTTGAACGGTACACGCATTTCCCCCGGAACTGGTCCGAATCGAGATTTGTTTGTGTTTCTAGAATTAGACAATCAAGGCGAATATTATGGTGTGATCAAATAATTTTTCTAAAGATTTTATTTTTTCCTAACCCCGGTTCGAGTTAGTAATTAAATAATTAAATTAACCAATTCTAATAGACCAGGTTCCAGGGCATTATATTGCTTATAAAAAGTAGGATAGTAAATTCATTCATCTTGGAAATAAAATAGTTTCATTCTGGATAGTGTGATAGACTGCTAGCAACCATTTTGGTGTGCTTTGGTTTCAGTTAAATTGGCTTTGAAAATGTCATTTATTAGGTTCATTCAAGTAACGGGTTGAATTATGTTCATTCGCGCTTGTGCTATCACTCATTCTCATGTATAATGGTCCTCATGAGTACTCTGGACAGTAGGGGCATGTTATGTTTGTGATAGTAAAGTTCATTCATATTGGCATTGTAATATGATCATTCTCATGTTTGTCAATGCACATTATGATTTATACTGGTACTTAATTATACCATGAGTACTGAATGCATATTGTATAGACAGCTTAAAACCCGAGTTTCTTTATTTTTTTGTGAATAAGAATATGATCATTCTCATAACTGCTGATACTCCTTCTGTTATATGGTAGTACTCGTTTATCAGCATTGTGTAGGTAAAAATCTTATTATTAATTTGATGATTGAGATGTGTGCAACAAAATTATGCACTAAAAAAACCATGACGAAAATACCTTTACTACGTGAAGAACCAAATGTTTTTACTAAAGTACACTTGAGGAAAAGGATAGGAACTGAGAAGGAACTCAAGTTTGGCAGGAAAATGCAATTGAGAAAGAGAGGAATACCAGAAGGAAATGCTGAGCAGGAGAACAATCAAGCTCAAGAAGATCTAATTTCACAAGAAGATGAACTGCTAAATATTGAAAACATTGATCAAGTAAATGGTGAAAAGTATCTGGTAGTACATGTTGAGATTGTACAAAGAGAAATGGAAGGAAACATCGAGCAAAAGAAAGAGGAAGATGAGCTAAACAGTGACCAAGAAAATGGTTAAGATGAAGTAAACACTGACAAAGTGTATAGTGAAGAGGAAGAAAGTGCTACGAAGAAGAAAGATGGAATAGTAGAAACAAAAGGTAAGAGAAAATACAAAAAGATGGAGAGAGAAAAATAAAGAAAGAAAGAAGCAAATGATGGAAGAAGGAGACTTGAATGAGATTGGTGTGAAATCCATAAAGACAAGGATGTCACCAAAAACAATAACTAAAGTGATTAAAAATCTGAGTGAAGGACAAAAAAAATGATGTTGTGGACATGGGTTTTTGTAGGTTTTTACAGTTGGATATCACGCATCTTCCTCTGCAGTTAGGCTATTGGCTGGTGGAAAATTTTGATACCAAAAGTGTTTTCCTGAAATTGCCGGGTAAAAAAGAGGTTCACATTGATGAGACTTCCATTCATAGCACCATTGGATTTCTAATGAGAGAGGGTAGTGTGATGAAAAAGAAGGAAGAGAAATCTGAAAAAGCAAGAGAACTGATGAGAGTTTGGAAGTTATAATTTCCAGTTCACAAAGGGACAATTAAAATAACAGATGAGAGAAAATGTGTTGAAGAGAAAAAAAGTAGGAGAAATGTTCAAAAGGAATTTAATGGTATTGATTGTCAGTTTTCTAATTGAAGGGAAGTAGAATTGTTCACCGACGCATAAAATTGTGAATGCTTTAGTAAACGTGTCTGAAATAATGAAACATTAACTAGGGTTCATATACTTTGGAGAGCTTGATAGAAGCAATAAATACTTTGGAGGACCATTGTTGCTTTTAATTGTAAGTTCTAATTTTTATATATGTTTTTTGTAATGTTTATATTTTTTGTGTGTATTGTATTAACACATTTATTTGATGAAATGATGATCGGGTTTTCTGCGTTAATAATGTCATCTTCAAAAGCAAGATAGTTCAAAGGCAGCAGTTCCCCTCTTTCGTTGGATGGAATGCGAGGCTACTATGGGAACGAGAAAAGACTGAACAAATGAGTGGAGGATTTGGATACAGGTACATCGATGTGCCCAATGTTGAAAAAGTGGGACTGACAAGTCAAAATCTCAACAAAAAAAATCAGACAAACAAAAATGATGGTGGAAATCAAGATGAATTACATGTTCAAAAAGAAAAAATCGTAAGTTGTTCAAAACGGCTTATAAACAACTTTTAACTTATAACTCAGCTAATGACGTTCTTCTGCATGCTTGTAAGTTGAATTATAAGCTGCTTATAAATCAAAAAGATAAATACTCCCTCCGTCCGAAAATAATCTTCCCACTCTATGTTTTTTTTCGTCCAAAAATAATCTTCCTACTCTACTTTTTTATCAACACTCTTCCAAAAATACCCTTCTTTCTTCTCCTACTCAATCACCCCTACCCACGTTTGACCATTCCCACTTATTCTTTCTCTCTCTCTTCCCCCTCCCCTTCTTTTTCTTTCTCCTGGTTCTGGTTTTGTTCTTCTCATTCTTCGTTTCTTCTACCTCTCTTTTTCATCTCTCTCTCTCTCCCCTTCTCCTTCGTCGTCTTCTTCTTCTCATCTTCAACCTCCTTCTATTTCTTTCGTCTTCCCTCAAATCTTGCCTTTGTCCCTCTTTCTTCTTCTTCTTCTTCTTCTAGATCTGTGTTAGATCTGTAGGGCTAGCTGCAATTGTAGAGCAGACGGCGATGATGGGAGCTAGATCCAATAGATCTGTACTGGATCTTTTTCTTCTCGTGGGGCGGCGGTGGGCTGGGCAGAGACGGTGGTGGGCGGCGGTGGGCTTGGCAGAGATGGTGGTGGGCGGCAATGGGCTGGGCAGAGATTGTGGTGGGCGGCAGTGGGCTGGGCAGGAATGGTGATATCAGTAAGATATAAGGGTAGTTTAGACATTTCAATGTGAGAGTCAACACTCACTAAAAATGAGGAAAAGTCAAACCGGGAAGTTTAAATCCGGACGGAGGGAGTATATTTTAACTACTTAGTTTTAAACCTGTTTTTTTTGCTTCGTTTTGAATGAATTAATTACAAACTATTTCTTACCATTTATGAGTATTTACAAATGACTTATCTATCATTTAAGTCATTATATTTTCACAAACATGATCCGAGTTGTTATCGAATTCTCCTTCCCGACCTCGTGTGCGCGCATGTGCTGCTGCTGCTGCTACGATGTGGTCGAACCGGAGATAAGAGGCCAACTAATCGATTGCTAATTTAGTGCATTTGGCCAGCCAGTCAGCAGCCTAGGGACGATTGCCATGGATAAAAGGAAACCCCTTGCAGCCGCTGGCAGAATATGCGACGGGCTTTCCCAGTTCAACCACCACTCCTCTTCCATTTTCATCATCACTCTTGAAATGTAACTGGGAGCACTCAAAAAGCCAACATCCCATATCTGAATCTGACCGGAGACCCCACCACTCCTCACGGAAATCACGGTCGAAACAAGACCATGGTTGAACTTTATCCTCCGGGTCAAAGGCGTAGAGGCCATTCAGGTAAAAAAAATTGACCAGAACTGTCTTTTTCTTACTGCCAGCATTAGTTCTGTATACATTACTACTAATCCTTCTTTTTCATTGGGAGAAGGGGTGACCCACCAACCGGAGCGACCAATAAGGTAGATAGAACCATCCATTAGCAGGGATTCAAGAAAACCAAGGTGTGGCAGCTCTTCAAATCTATCTATTTGTCTCGCTTTGCATTTGATGCCCGGATACCTTCTCCATACTCCACCGGTTGTAACATCACCATTCAAACAAAACCATCTATCCATTGGTTCCAACCCCCCAAACACCTGAGACACATAAATTGGATTCTTCTTTCTGCTGTTGTCGTCAATTTCAACCGCAGATGACTCGCCCCTTCTTGCCATTCCTCACACAGATAGGGTTCCTAGTTCGAAGAAGACGAATTTAAATAAGTTAATAAAACAGGCATTGAGATCATATTTGTGATTTATACATGATGCACACGCTTGGAACTCTTCTCCATTAGGCATTCTAATGGAACCCAGGATGTGTTGAATTCAAAACCACAACCAGATTACTAAATTATATGTATATGTATTTTCAAATGTTGCAATATAAATGACACTTTTAAAGCGAAAAAAAAAACAGTTTTCGAATAAGACTCGTAACAATCTTTTTCCATATATTTCAAACACTGAACCAAGGAAGAGGAACAGAAAATAAAGAATGTCCTTTAAGTTTTGAATTGTAAGCAAACCCACAACAAAACAGATCAAGCATTTGTTGGTTTCTCCATTAGGTACGCTAGTACCTAACGGAACCCAGAATTTGTTGGTTTCAAATACACAACCAGATTAGAAAAGGATAAGCCGTTTGTATCAGTGTTTTGAATGTTGGAAGATAATATGTCGCTTTTAAAGAAAAAAAGGTTTTCGAATGAGTATCTGAGCAATGTTTCCATATATTTCAAGCATTGAACCACGGAAGAGGAACAAAAATAAGGTCTTTGAATTCTAAACAAACCCACAACAAAACAGATCCGGTGTTTGTTAAATTCAAAAACACAACCTTTTTGTATCGGTTCAGTACAATTACACTTCCTAGTACCATTGTAACTTGTAAGTATTTGTTTAAGACATGTTAAAATATGAACTCACTCTAACAAATCCAGAAATAGCCCAACTTGTTTGGCCTTCTCAATCCTCTTTTTGTAATAGATACACAACGTTAAGTTTAGATTGTGAACATAATACTCCAGGCTAGACATTTAATGAATCCAACACGCTCATGGAGGTTTAAGAATCAATTTCGGTTTTTCCATTAGGTATGCTAATGGAACCCAGAATTTGTTGAATTCAAAAAACACAGACAGAATACAAAAAGATACGCTCTATGCATCTGTGTTTTAAATGTTGGAGGACAATATATAGTTTTTAAAGGGGGGGAAAAGTTTTTGAATAAGAATTGGAACAATTTTCCATATATTTTAAGCACTGAACCAAGGATGAGGAACATAGAATAAAGAAAGTCCTTTTAGGATTCAAAAAAAAAAAGAAAGTCCTTTTAAGCTTTGAATCGTAAACAAACCCACAATAAAACAGATCCAGTGCTAAAAAAATGAAGATTGTGAACAAAATACTGCAGGCTAGAGACATTTAATGAATTGAACACGCACATGGAGGTTTAAGAATCAATACTGGTGCAGTTTTTCAGTTTTAAAAGAATGAAGATTTGCGTACGAGGCAAAAACATTTTGGATTTGCAGAATCCACGACCAATCTCGGCATCTTGTAAGCAAAAAATTGCCTTTTCAAATTGCATCCAATAAATCAGAAAACTCAAACACTAATAGAAATATGCTGTGAAGAGGGAGGAATCTCACCAGAAATTGGAGCAATTCTTTAAGGTGGGCCAGCGAGGAGACGCGAAGGCGGAGAAGATACACAACGAAGATTGGTGTGAGAGCAACCCGCATGGGTATATGAAATGGGTATATGAAAGGGTAAAAAAAAGAATATTTCTAATATATACTCCCTCCGTCCGGGAATGATGTTCCCACTTTGAATTTTCCTCATATTTTTAAGAGGCATTGACTAAAGGAGTAAATAGACAAAAATGCCCTCCACCCATCCCTACCCATCATACCCGCTGGAACTCACTGGCCCAACACTCACCGCCGCTCCAGCACCCACCAGTGCCGCCGCCAACCTCACCGCCACCCCAGCCTCCACCACTACCGCAGATCTAACCGACCACTTGGTACCACTGCCAATCCCACCTTCTCTACCAACAACCGTTTGCCGCCAGCCCCCACCACAACCGTCGGTCTGTCCCTCGCCGCCATCCCCCACCACCACGGCCAACCTCATAATCTCTACAAACACCCACATCTCCGTCAGCCTCCACCACAACCGCCAGTCCCTCTATCGCTGACATCCCCCTCCATCGCAGATCTGGAAGAAATCAAAGGCATACGAAGAAGGGAAGAAGAAGAAGGTGATTCTGTCACAGATTTGTTTAGATCTAGAAAAAAAATGGAGGAAAAGAAGACGAAGAAGATGGTGATGAGAAGAAGAAGAGGGGGATCCGTGTGGATCGGAGAAAGAGCAGGGGAAGAAGAAGAAGAAGAAGGAGGAGGAGGAGGAGGAGGAGGAGGATCGGTGAAAGAGAGAAGAAAAAGAATGGAAGAAACCAGGGAAAAAGAGAGAATGGAAAGAATGGAAGAGGAAAAAAGAAAAAGAAAAAGATAAGGAGGAAGGAGTCAACCGAAGGAAACAATGGAAGAAAAAAAGAGAAAGAAAGAAGAGGAAGAGTGTAGTATTGGAAGAATGGTAAAAAATAAGTAGAATGGGAACATCATTCTCGGACGGAAAAAAACGTAGAGTGGGAACATCATTCCCGGACGGAGGGAGTACTTCTTTTCATTAAAAATCCTTCTCCAATGGAAGAGGTAAATAAGAAGGCATTATACCTTCTACAATTTTGAAGAGGTATCTTTACCTTCTTCATTTGGGGAGGTATATCAATTTTTCCTACCTTTTAAATTTATTTCATCAATTACTATAGTTATTGTATTTTTGCTTGAATGTATTATTATAAATTTTTAATTTTTATCTTTGTAATTGTAAAACTTAACGAGTCAATAATTAACAAAAAAATGATATTTTGTTTTTTTAATTTTGCACTTTGTATTTTTAAGTTTTTTCTATTCGGGTATTTATAATTTTACATCTGCAATTAAACATAATGTATATTTAATTATTTCAAAACTGACATTCTAATTTTTTTCCCCAATAAATTAGTTGTATTTTTATAAAATCTTTAAATTTAAAATTTTAATCAAGAAGAAACAAAGGCAACAAACCTCAAATTTACCTCCCCATGATTTTTTAAAGAATGTATATTTTCTTTTCTAATAATTAAAATTTGATTTAAGCAGGTAAATCAACTAAATTTTTCCCAATAATGTATGAAGATGGATTTTTTTTCCTCTTTTGTCTTTTGATTTACCTTCCTCCATTGAAGTTGCACACTTTTTGGAAAGGTAAACTTGATCATTTGGAGAGGTAAATGAGATATATACCTCTCCAAGATACCTCTTACCATTGGAGTTGCTCTGAGATCGAAGAAGAAATAAGGCACAAGTAGGCCTGTTTATAGGTCAATGATTTTTTAACGGATTTAGAAATAAAAAAATATTGTTTGTCCGTACCCGAATTTGTACCCGTTATTTTAAAAAAATAAAGGGTCGGGAATAGGACAAGTAGTCCCAACTCATTTAAAACCCGTACCGGTTAAATACATACTAAGTGCGGAGTATATAATATTACAAAACTCTACCACTCTTCTTCACTACTCATCTTCTTTGCTAGTTGCGTGGCTTCCAAAATTACTTGAATTTATTTCACCACATTTGGGACATGTACATGTTGGTTTATGCTATGCAGTAGCATAAAATAAATAGTTTGAAATAACTTTATAATGTTATACAGAACATTCTTGTAACATGAATGAATGTGACAAGAAGACCGATTATGAAGCTAAAATTTTTGTTTTAGATTTTTGGTAAAGAAGCCCGATTTTTGTTGCAGTTATGTAATAGTCTTATGTTTATTTGTATTCAATTAAAGTGTTTTTCATTCATAGTATTTTCACTAATTGTTTTTTAATTATAGAAAAATAAAAAACATCAACTTTTATCATGGGTATACCCGACACGATACCGAGACCCAATGGATCCGAATATAAGATTAAACTTCAAGACCCGTCGGGTAAGCGGGTACGGGTCAGGATCATTTTTTTAAAAAACAGGTTCGGGTAGTCGGGTATAGAACACTATGAACCGACCCGAACCCAACCCATTGACAAGCCTAGGCACAAGTATTTAAAAGTTAGAATTGCTTGGCAGCGTGGGCAAAATAAGGGCATTTAGGCCATGTTCCTCTCAACTTGTTTTTTCTTTTTTTATTCTTATTAAAATCAGATCAAATCAAATCAAATTAGATCCAATCAGATCAGTTTAGATCAGATCAAGAATTATTATTATTATTATTTTGAATTTCATATTTTTTACTTGTTTCACTTGATGCGATTTTTCAAAAAATAAATTTAATTTCTCTTGAAAAAATATGAGAAGAAAGAACATGAAATTTTTGTGCGATTATAATATATGTAAAGAAAAAAAAGACATGAAACATAATTTTTTTCTTAAAATTGAAAAAAGAATAAACTTTAAAAATAAGTTAAATAGAAAACTGAGAAAGTAATCCTTAATAATTAGACGTCGGAAAAATTGTTTTTAAAATACATTGACAATGTCAATCTAATTCTACTTTTAAAATACATTTTTATTGCTACGTGCAATCATCCTACATCCCCTATCACACCCCACCAACTCTATCTATCCCATTAAGGCCATCACACTTCCCATATACATGCTTACAAATCTACCTAAAAAAATCTCATCACTGTCACACTAACAGTAAAAAACAAAAACACAAACAAAACTCAACTGATCGTCAAAAAACACATAGCCATGCCACTTCACAAACCCATTCAGATGTCCCCAATTTTAAAACATCGCACATCGCCAAAGTTTTCCGATACGTTATAAAAATAAACAACCATAAAAAAACTCAAAATAAATCATACCGTGCTGCGTAACCACTCGGTGTTTGTAAACAGCTCATATATCCATGTCTTGTTCTCCATTGTAAAGCCATCAAGGACAATGGGATTGTTCGTCATGTTCTCCACCTTACTTGTATACCTGCATGACTTGTTCTCCTTTCCTTGTCTTTTCAGGATGCCCTCATTCAAAAATCTCCTGACCTTCTCTATTTCTTCATCCGCAGGCATCTCCTTTGGATCCTCGGAAAATGGCCCATAGCACACTGCCTCCCTATCACGTGTAAGACGTTACCTAGCACACTCCATCCGCTCAATCTTGCGCTTCTTCTTATCTTGCTCGACCTTTGAGGGAGTATATCTCTCGGGATTCTTGTGAACCCTTTTAGGTCGTTCAATCTCCACACACGCACTATTTGAATACAAACCCGTAGTGAACGCCTAATCAAATCATTTCATACCATTCGTATCAGGAGAAATTAAAAAACATTTTGTAACAAACACATGGCTAGAAAACTAACACGCCAACATATCAAAGCACATTTTACTATAGTCACTAATTTTTTGCCCATTACAACTGATTCAAAAATACTAACCACAACAGAATCATGAACACCTCTCACTCCCTGCTCCCCGCTAGCCACATTGCTGCTAGTGAATATTTTCCCAAAATCATCGTCACCCATGCTAACTTTCTGCGTGCCTTCATGGTCACGCTGCCCCATTCTACCCTTGTTCAAACCAGCAGACCCCTGTAAATATACAGCGTTAAATATAAGGCCACATTAAAAGGGAAATCCAATTGAGGCTAAAACCGGCAGTAAGACTGCTTCACTAGAAGTGTGATTATTAGTCCTTTTCAAAATACTTGTACTTCTAAAAAGACTAACCCCAACTGCAGCCTCAACGGACATCGGTTCTTCCACATCATTTGGCATTGTGGCAAATTTCAAGTCAACCTCCGCACCATCTTCAATCACATTGCATTTTTCCTCATCCGCATCCTGACCCACAACACCTTCACAAGATACCAAAGGAACATGCCAGTCAACACAATTACAATTCAAATACCATTGTATCAAATTACATATCCCTTTAGTGGGCACTCAAAAAAAAAGAAGAAAACACATATGGAATTAACACATTACACTTTTGGCATGCTGTAATGAAATTAGCACCAGTTCAGTTTGCCTGTCGATAAGCTCGAGGTTGCGATGATCATACTGCGCCTCAGTGAAGGGGATCTCAACACACTTCCTCTCCTTTTCAGCATCAAAGGCCTTTGTCACCGACACATTACCACTGTTGGCATTTGGATTGTCATCACCGGCGGCATCAACTTTCGGCATTGGAGTTAGAAGATCGAATGATGGCCCCCCCAGCGTCAAAACTCATTTCGACATCATATGCGCATTTTACTCTGGCCTCTACATTTCCCTCACCATTGCGATCATCCATCTGGACTTTAACTTCCTCATTACCCGCCATCAACGACACTTTCCTTGATGCTGACCCAGCTTCAACACACACAGATTTTAGTTGAAGAATTCTCAAGATTTCATCCAGCTTTTTGTCTTGTGCAACCTGCTTTTCCTTTATCTCTTTAATTTCCTTCACTATGCTAAACTGATCACACCCCTTACTTGCCACACCCTGCAACTTTCCTCTTCGCCCCACCAAATTTTTATTCAATTTCACACTGCCACTCTCAACCCTCAACCCAGCACCAGATGCCATCCCACCAACTTTCATCTTCCCCAATGCTTCCCTTACATTCACCTGCTTTTCCTTCACATTCCGAGCCCTCTTCGAAGCACTTAAAGATAACTTCCATTTCCCCGTCACTGAAGAGGTGACATTACACCTAAAAAGCCCCTTAACACTACCCAACAACATCTCCGCATCCGTTGGCTCAACCACAGTCCATACAAGGTGCATGTTAAAAAATTGTTATTATTAAACACTACACAATGAAAGAAAACAAAGGAAATCACATCTAAATAAAAAACCACTAACCTTCTCAGATTTAAGAAGTGCGTTAGAAACTTTTGTAGAATTCAACTTCGAACAGACCTTCCATCTCAAACACTGAGGTATTGCATTTACCCTGTCAGAATCCAACACACACATCCCAGCCTCCACAAGGGCCGGGAATGTCTCAAACGTCCATTCTTGTAGAGCAAACATGAAGCCTCCGAATGTAGGCCGAGTGCTACCCCCCTTTTCAATACACAATGCACACCTGTACACATGATCAACCAACTCTTTTCACACGTCATCCCCCCACGGGTAACTATTAAACTCATCAAGATCATCAACCAAGTTCAAATAACTCATTGGCAAATTAACTAAAGGCTGGTTACCGAGAAACAAACTTGCCAAAGCATAAATAAAAGACATCTTAAGGGCGTCATTTGGCATTGACCCAGCCGCATCACGTTTAAAGCTTAGGAATGCATTGGTGATTTCTCTCCGCTTCACTGATTTACTTGATGGAAAATAACGTGACGCAAACCTACCAGACACACCATTTTCCATACTGCCTCTCATTCCACCCATCTTTAACATAGTAATCAAATGGAATTGCGCCTTCGTCAACACCACTTCGCTTCCAAGTATTTTAAACATCAACATGTCCTTCCTACCCCCCCCCCCCCCCATCAGCAGTCCTCACACAATTCCCAACCAAATGTATGAGCAATTGACCGCTAATCCATGGACACTCTAAAACATCTAAAAGAAAACCGAAAGCAGAAGATCTAAAACGATTAACCTCCTATAGTGTCAGTATCCTTCTAATCTGTCTAGCCACCTCGTTAACGTTGCAATACGTATTAATCCTACCATCAAATAAGCCAGCTTTCTCCACCCTCTACGTGTCCTGTACAAGGCACAAATCAGTCATATGCACATAAAACAAGCCCACAAACACTTAGCCAATAATTCAAGGCCAGGCATTAAAACCAGAATACGAGGAAATGAAAACACCAAGACAACCAGTAAAAGAAAACTAGATTTGTCCATGCATAACGCCAGTATGCATTTTTAACCCAAAAACAAACTTCTAATCCCACATACAACGAAAAACCAGAATATCAGATAATCAAATCTCCATGTCTACCATTGGAAAAAACTAGAAATGTCAATGCATATTGCCAGGCTGCATTTTTAAGCCTAAACAAACTTGCAATGCCATATACAAATTACAAAACCAAACAATGCCATTGTGTAAACCACATTCAGACAAATCACACACACTTCCACAACAAAAACCCATCCCCCATGCAAGCTACATGCACACTGCACTACAACAATAGTGTGTAAACCAATACAATTCCATACAATACAACGTCCACCCAACAAAACCAAAACTAAAATGATAACAAATTCAACATATCATTGAGGCCATATTATTACACATCTTATAAAAAAACTTTAATCATGATGAAAAGAAAAACCCCATGACATCACATACACACATCCAGATGTCAAAAAAACAAACTTCACAGGAAGAAATTCAATGCATTTGTTACCTCAAATCCCAAGACGAAACAGAACAATAAAGTCATAACAATTGCAAATCCACTACAAATTACAAGAACAGAGCTCTTTACTTCCAAATGCTAAATACCCAAAACAATAAAAAAATTTAAAAACAAATGGAAACCTCTTCATCTACTAGAATCTAAAACTTTGGGCATTACACAACACATATCATAGTTGCAACCAAAAACCACCCAAATTACAAAAGAAAAAACAAATGTCCAAATCACCCAACAAAAGCATCTTAAACACAGCCATGCATAATGCCAAAAGAAAAAACAAATGTCCAAAACACACACTTCCACAATAAAGTCATAACATTTGCAAATCCACTTCTAATTACACGAACAGAGCTCTTTACTTCCAAACGCTAAAACCCCAAAACGCTAAAAAATTAAAAAACAAAAACAAACCTTTTCATCTACCAGAATCTGGAATTTTGGGCATTACATAACACATATCATAGTTGCACCCAAAAAACACCCAAATTACAAAAGAAAAAAACAAATGCCCAAATCCTTTAACGGCGTTCACCCTCATATAATCAATGGGAATTCGTACCTGAACCTTCTCCATCCTTTTACTAAGCGGAAGTTCATCGAGAGCGTCATCCTCTGTCAATGGTTCTTCTGGACCGCGCAGAGCATCCTCAGTAGCCATTGTAATCCTTACACTGCGTCTCCTCTGCGGAATAGATCTCTTTGGTGTTGTAAGCTCCGTATGCTTCATATTTCTAGATTCTAATTTTGGGAAGTGCAAAACAACCGCCTGATTCGCCGAGATCAATATCCGGAAGCATGCAATAGACTATAATTGCGAACCTGGCGCCTGATTAGCCGTCTTCAGGAATCGGAAAATCCACTGCCACCTTCAAATCAAATCGTTTCCTTCTTTAAACCACAGGGACAAAACCGGAATTGCACATCACACTAAATGACGGAAATTACTATTCTCAATAGGAGTGCTAAATACGTACTAAAACCTGTACAATAGTGCTATTTGTGTGCTTCTCCCTTTGCCATTCACTCAGGTTTGGGAACAATGCTTAAATTGGTGCTAGCATTTTAGACAATTGTTCTTAGCGGTGTTAGATTGAATGAAAAAGTCTTGACGAATCCCAATTTATATTCACTTTTGATTTCAATGCCTTCACATATATTACAAACATCACATACACATAACAGTTTCCCGTGTTTGTGGTATCTATAAAGGCATTGAGGTCAAAAGTGAAGTGTAACTTGAGATCCCTATAGCATGAATTTAAATTAAATAGAATGGAATTGGATGTGCCGGGTTCGATCAAATTGTAATTTATATCAGTATACAAATAAATTTTATTAGATATATCTCGTTACGAACTTTCAAAATTTTGTTTTAGTATATATACAATTCAGGAGTAGTTAAACTATTACAGTTTAAA